GGGGAATTCTGGGAGTCGAAGTCCCACACGTCTTCGAGTTGCCCAGGTCGAGAAACACTGCATTAATGGGATGGATTCACTCCTTGAAGCAGTCGCACCTTTTTTGAGAATTGGGTGAAGGCTGCTTTCAGGAATAGGAGAAAGCTGCTGTGCTTCTGCGAGGCCTGCTCTCCCTCTGAATATTTTTGAAGCATACTTTACCTTAGGTTAGGACTTTTATCATACCATCAGTTATACCCATTATATATTTAAATATGTGTGGAGGATTCTCATGATACACTATGTTAATGTCCAAACCTTACCCTCTGGCATAGTCCTTTCTTGAAAATGTTTGACTGTATTTATTATGTATGCTTGAATCTTTCCCATTCCCCCCCATACTATATTATTATATTTCTTTTTCACTAGGAACCCCAGACAAGCCCTGTAGACTTGGATTCATTTACTGTGCTTTTTCATTTACTTTTTTTTTTTCCAAATAAAACAAGATTCAAAACTCTGGCAAAAGAAAAGTGCTTTGTTAAGCCTGGTAGTGCCGTTATTTACAAAGAAAGAAATGCACTGCAATTTATAAAATGGCGTATGGGGAAAAATTACTTAGCCATAATCTTCTAGATCAGTGTTTCTCAAACTTGGCAACTTTGAGATGTGTGGACTTCAATCCCCAGAATTCCCCAGCCAGCATGTTATGCTTGGCTTTGAAAAATGCTATCCTCAGCTTGGGGAAAGTTAGATTTTGTAGGTATCTTGCTAGTTCCCAAGTGCCCTTATTTATCTAATTTCTGCCATGTTGGGGCAACCTATTAACTTTGGCTTGAAACTTCATATCCCTTATCTTTGGGTGAGCAGTTGTTTGGTACTCTGGAGGATGTTGTCTGGTAGAGGATCTTTGTTTTCTGCAGAAAAAAACATGTTTTTCTGAGAAATATTCAGAAGCCCCAGAATGGCTGAACCAAATTTATAGTGGGTCCCAGGGGAGTAGAGCTTCAGTCTTTGCACAAGGCTTCATCCTTCTGCAGAGTTAGCTAAACGAGAAGTTGGTATTTACAACGAATTAGTTTGCTTAAAGAAAGGGTTCCCTTACAGAGAGAAGGTGGAACTGCTGTCCAAAGCCTGAAACTTAGAATGGGGCTCGGACCTGCTTGCTGAGAGGTAAATGTGGAATAATGAATCTGTGGAAGAAGGAATGCACAGAAGATGATGGACTGCAATTATCAGGACAAGAACTGATAGATGGAAACTATAATGAAGCAGATTTTGGATAAACATCAATGCCTTGTGGTGAGAGCTGTTCAACTGTAGAATGGACTGCCTTGAAAGTGGCAGGCGCTTCTTTGCTGATGGTCTTTCAGCAAAGGCTGAGTAGCAGTGGCTCAGGGGTGCTATAGCAGTACTGCAGATACTGTATTGAGCAGGGAGTTAAATTAAGTGATCTCCAGTGTCACTTCCAAGTCCACAATTTTATTATTTGAGAAGAGACTACTACTGAATTTTCCATGGAGTGTTGCATTAAAAAAATGGGACAAACCAAGTTTAAGAGAGGCTCATTTCTAATCAGTCTAGTTCTCTGAGTATAAATCTGCACTCCACTTGTGCACCTTTGGTACTCACCTGCCTATGACTTGACCCTGAATATTCAGTGAGAGCGTCTCTTTGCATCTTCTACCAAATAATATTGAACATTAATTCCATTCCTGCTACATATACAGTACTTTCAATTCTTCATTTGAGATTTGTAAGTATAGAATTGCTGGTATGTAGGCAGCAAATCCTTTTTATCATTCCTATCGACAGGTAATTCTTCACATCACTCATTATTAGGTTAAATATAATGGCATAGGTGGAGATGAATGGAAGAAGGCAGCAAGGCCAGCCTTGTGCAAGAAGTCTTGAATGCTGGATTTAATGCTAGTGATCAGCTACAAGAAGCATGTTGTCTATTTATAAAGCCCCAGAAAGTGATAGGGCCTGCTAATCTCAGGCTGGATATCACTCACTGCATTTGAATC